AAAAGTAATGCAAAGATAAGTAGTTTAAGGCAAAATGAAGAGCAAAAACAGACTCCTAAAATAATTAACTGAAAATAAAATAGAAGAGCAGAACAAAATCTCGATAGAACAGTTGAAACAAATGAAAAACCAATAACAAGAGAGAAATTAAAATGCACCTTGTTGGATGTTCTGGAAACATTAGCCAGAGCAATTAGACAAGAGAGGGAAGCAAAAGGAATAAAGATAGGAAAGAAAGAAGTTACATTATCATTGTTTGTAGATGATATGATACTTTACATAGAAGACCCCCAAAACTCCATTCAAAGACTTCTAGATGCAATAACCAAATTCAGTAGATATAAATGGGTACAAAGCCAACACTCAAAATCAATAGTATTCCTTCCACAAACAACAAACTGAGAGAGAAATAAGGGAAACCACACTCTTCACAATAGCATCCAAAAAATGATAGAATTCATACTTATGAATTAGTCTAACAAAGGAAGTAAAAGATTTATACATTTTAATTGAAAATTACAGCAGTCTGAAAAAAGAAATTGGAAAGATTTGAGAAAATGGAAAATAATCCCTGTTCATAGATAGGAAGAAAAAAACATTGTGAGAATGGCCATTCTCCCAAAATTGTTATACATATTTAAAGCAACTCCAACCAAATACCATTTGCATATCTCACAAAACTAGAGAACTCATTCCTACAATTCATCTGAAACCAGAATACACATAGACTAGCAAGGACAATTCTGGGCAACAAAGGCAAGGCAGGAAGCATCACAATCCCCAACTTGAAATTGTATTGCTGTGATAAAATCAGCATGGTACTGGAATAAAGGTAATGGACATGACTTGAAACCATACTCATAAGTAAAGTAACTCAAAATCACATGTGTAAATGCTGTATTGCCTCCCTAGTGAAAGAAACTGAAATAGCAAATGCTATTCAAATCTACAGTAAATACTGTGTAAGGGTAAGGAACTACTTAAAGAGGAAAAGTAATGGGTGGGGGAAAGGAGAAAAGAAAGAAGGGAAAAGGAAAGAGATATAAATTTGTATATGTATACGTAAGATAGTTAAGATGACTATACTACTAATTGCATTAGTTCTTGGTAAAGAACAGATAATACTCATATGGTTAGATATTTGGTAATATGATTAGATATTTGGTAATCTAGACAATACTTTTGAAGATAACAACATACAGTATTACAAACATGGTTAAATTCCTGTCATCTTGTTTTGAAAATCTATACTGTTATTGCTTTGGGTTTGTTGTTATTGTTTGTCTCAGTTTCTTTTTGTTTTTCTTTTCTTTGTCTTTTTTCTCTTAAATAAATTTTAAAAAATGCACATTGTCAATATGATAACAAATATAAACAGAATAAGTACATGCATCAAAATAAAAATTGTCACTGATGACTTTAAAAGAGTCCAAATACATGTTGATAAGACAAGTAATATTTTAATGAACTACAGACAGTAGAGAGAAGCAAAAATTTACAAGAGAAAGATGTTATATGAAGACTTTCAACTTAAGAAAGATTTAGCTATATTAGTAACAGTAAACGATTAAAGTGAACATTATTTTCAGAGACAAAAAAATTTAAAGAGTTTTGAGGAAGATGAACCATCTTAAATATGTTTGTATCTAATACTAAATGTTCAAGGTATAAAGTAAAATTTTACAGAACTAAAGGAAAAAATAGACTAATTCATTTTCTAACTGGATCATCAGCATCTCTCTCACATAAAAACTCCAGTGAAAATATGGAAGATTTGAATGCTTTTGCAATATATAGTTTCTTTTTAAAATACTATTTTGTTTTTTAATTTGACAAAGAGTAATTGCATATCTTTATTAGGTTTTATAACCTAATAATTTACACTTCCGGTACTTAATGTACACTCCTAGGGAATGTACATTCTTAACCAAAGACAACTAGTTGGCATTCAAGAAGCACTCTATCAACCAGTGTGTGTACACTCTTCAAAAAAAAGAACATTGCAAAATAAATAAGATTTCTTTACTAGGCCATGTAATAATGTAGGTTTTTTCATAAATATAGAGTACATATATATTGTGTGTTCTGAAAAAAAAAACAAAGAAGCTAGAAATAAAGAATAAATGTCAAAATTACCCCCTAAGCCCTTGGAAATTAAGCAGTGAACTTTTAAGAAATCATGACAGATTGACATCAGCAAGATGGCAGATTAGGAGATCCCATACATCATCCCTCCACAAAATAATAATAGTCATAATGATAAACATTTAACAATTACTCACAGATTAAAAATAGCTCTTGCACGGTTCAGTACAACTAAGGAGCTGTAACAATCAAGTGAAGAAAATACCTGAGGTAGCCATAGAGAAAAATTTCAGCAAGGTTGCCTGCATCACTCCATACTCGGGGCCAACACAGTTTGGTTCCTAGAGAGCCTCTCAGCCATGATTCCCACTGGGGCAAAACAAAATGTTCACAGCAGCTTTTGCCACTAAACACCCTGCAGTCTTCTCTGACACTGAATCCAGCTCACACAGCTGCCTGGAACCTCTATGACACTGCACTCACTTGAACTGAGAGCCACACTGAACACCAGCTTTACTACAGGAGTCACTTGTGTACATCCCTGGATCAGTGTCAGTGCTGAACTTCTCCATACCCAACCCCTCCACAAACTCTCACCCATCCACTTTTAGCCCTGGGATAACCACACACATGCCTGTGACTCAAATATGAATCTGTATCAATGCTTGCACAGCTTCAGACCAGACCCAACACACATTAAGTCTGCCACTGATGAAACCCTTTCCCTACTGAAGCCAGTATGCAAAATGTGGAAGAGGCAACTGTGGAAGAGGTTCCTTTAAATGTACAGGCATCAGCACAAGGGTACAAGGAACACATCCAAAGAACAATGACATCATATCATCAAACGAATAATAAATTTCTAGTAATTGTGTTCAAAGACATAGAAATCTATGAATTGCTTAGTAAGAAATTCAACATAATTTCTTAAGAGAATTTCTGTAATTTGTAATAGAAAACAAACAACTCAATGACAAAAAACACAATGTATGAATAAAACAATAATCTCAATAGACAGAGAAATTCTGATACTTCAAAAAATAAATGAAATGAAAAATGCAATAGAAAGCTAGAAGAACAGAGTCCATCCCATAAAACTTCAAAAAGAAGTAGTAACTTGAAGATAGGTCATTTTGTATTATCTAGGCCCAGTAGGAAAAAGTTAAAAAATGAAAATAGTAAAGAATGTCTACCAGATTTCTGGGATAATGTCAAGCAAACAAAAATATTCATCATGGGTATTTCAGGAGGAGAAGCAAGAGAAATGATGCAGAAAGCTTATTCAAAGAAATAATAACTAAAAGTTTCCCAAGCTTGATTGAGGAAGGAAATAGGCATAGATTCAAGGATTCCAAATAGGATAAACACAGTGTATAACTGCAAGATCTTTTATGCAAGCCTTAAGTTACTTAAAGGAAAAACATGTAATAGCTGCAAAAAATGTAAAGAGAAAGGAATCAATGAAAATACCCAAACACCTCCACCAACTGACAAAAGGACACAAGGAAAGGAAGAGAGTATAAAACAATTGATAAAGAGAAAAAACAAGAAAATGACACTTGTGAGTCCTCACCTACCAATGACTACTTCAACTGTAAATAGGTTAAATGATCTGATCAAAATATGTGAATTGAATGAATGGGTTAAAAAAAGATAAAGTAAGATTCAGCAATATATTATCTCATACAGACGCTTTTTTAATATAAGGACACTCATAGACTATAACTGAAGGCTTGCAATAAAAGTACTCCAGGAGAATAGGAACCAGAAAAAGAAGAGGTGATCCTTGCACATTATATACAATGTGTCACACTGTACCACCCAAATATGCAATATTGTTTTGTAAATTAAAATAATAATTGTAATTAAGAGATGATACCTGGCAATTAAAAGAAGGGATGACTATGAAGGTAACAAAAAACAAGAGTAAGTCAAAAACTGTCTTTGGAGAAGAACAAAATAGAAAGTCGTTATATTTTAATAAAATTGTCAATTCAAAAGGAAAATATAAAAAGTGCAAATTTACAATTACTTAACATCAGAGAACCTAAATATGTGATGCAAATATTGACAGATCTGAAGAGTAGTGCAGTAATAGTAGGATTCTTCAATATTCCACATTCAGTAATGACATAACATCCAGAGAAAAAATCAATAAATATCTGATTTGAACCACACTCAGAACAAATGAACTTAGCAGTTATAGAACATTCTATCAAACAGCAAAAGGATGCACATTCTCTTTAGACATACTCACATCTTCCAAGATAAGTAACTTATAGATTATAAAACAAGTCTTAACAAATTTAAGTTCAAAACCATTCTGAATATGTTTTATTATCACAATGGGATGAAACTGGAAAAGAATAATGATGAGAAAACAGGAAAACTCAAAAATCGTGGACAACACATTGAAGAACTATTAATTCACAATGAAAACCACACAGGAATTTTAAAAAATATCTAGGGATGAAAAAAATCTTATAGTAAAAAGGAATTTTATAACAATAAATGTCTACATTTAAAAAAATAACCTTCAAATAAATAACCTATGTATATAATTCAAGGAAATGGAAAAATAAGACAGACAAATTAAGGCCAAAATCAGGAGAAGGAAGAAAATAATAAAGATGAGTATAAATAAATGAAATAACAAATAGTAAGCAATAGAAAAGATCAAAGAAATTAAGAATTGGTTGATTGAAAAGATAAATGAAAGCAGCTGAGAAGATGGCAGATCAATAAGCCACAAAATAAAGATCTTCTCGAGAGAAACAGCTCAGATGCTGGAATAAAACATCCTGGAGAAGATCACATGGAAGGAGATAGATTCTCTTGACCCAGGAAGAAACCAAAGGGAAAAAAGAGCGAGAAAAAAAAGAAAATCATGGATAGAAGGCTATTGATATACTCACTGTCACCAGAGCCCATCACATCATACATGAAACACTGCTGGAATCCAAAGACACAGAGCTGCAGTGAAGTTGGGGGTGGGTGAGCCTGAGGGCCTCTGCAAGAGGAAGTGGTGGGGAGGGGAGTGGGGGAGCAGAAAGCAGCACTTGGCTCACAGATCTGTACCAGCTCACAATATGTGTGAAATCAGTCCTCCTACAGGAATGGGCAACCGACCAGGTGGCAGTTTGGAATCGAGCAGGCTAAACCCAGAACTAGAACTGCAGCAGCTTCAATCAGTCACTCCTAGCACAGAGCAGATTAGTGAGAATTGCTTGGACTGAGTTCTGCTTCTGTGCATGATCCAATTGCAAAGGACAAGGTGTCCTTGAAGGTATACCTAACCAGCCCCATCCATGTGGCACACACTAACATGGTGATGACTCCCAGAGCTTGACCAGCCCAGAAGGGAGGGGAGAGCCTGCCCCACCCCTGTTTGTACATCAGTGGACATCAGCAGACTGGGGAGGGCAGCAATCCCAAGCCAACACACTAAAGTAATCATAGCCAATACAGGAAGTGCCAGGGGCCTTCATTATCCATTCTGGAAGAAACCAGAAACATGACAAAAGGAAAAAACAAAAGGGAATCTCCAGCCCCCAACACAAACACTACTGGCTCAGGAGAGGCAAACACAAAAGATATTTGCAGTTGCACACCTGCAGTGTCTGAAAAAGCAGCATCTGACATAAAGAATTATCTTTGTGACATTATAAAAGAACTAAAAACAGAAATTGTAATACAAGTAAAGGAAGATATAAGAAAAATAATAAAGGAAATGCTAAGTACCTCTCAAGAAGACACAGATGGAAGAATGGAGGAGCATAGAAAAAGGAGAGAAACCTTTGATGAAGAATATAAAAAAAACTAGAATACATGAAACATTCAAAGAGACTACCATGAAATAAAAACTCCATTGAAAGCTGGCAAAACTGCTTGAAAGAAACTAAAGATAGACTATCAGATCTTTTTAAAAAATTTTATTTAAGGAGAAAAAGAAAAAAACAGAAAAAGGGTACAAGTTATGCAGAATTTCAAAAAAAGACAGCAGGAAATCACTAGTTAATAGATTAAATATTGTCATCTTAGAAATAGTTGTTCAAGTTACAAAATTAAAGCTTATAACGTGGACATTCAAACAGTGACACTGCAAACAGTTCTGTTCAATGATCCAACAAAAACTCAAGAATATGGCTATCTATCTTATACACTTAAATATACATGCAGTTATATCCTTTAGAGCACTTTCTTTTCCTCACTTTTTTACAATGAAAATTACACATTTTGGGTTTTATTACTTCCACAGTTCTTCTTACTTTTTTTTGAAGAGAATAAGACCAAATGTGACATAACAAAACAGAATCAGTAAAATCAAAAGGATGGACATAGTACATAATGTAAAAACAGATTACAAGGTGATCAACACTGGCTACCATAATGCCTCTTGCTATCTTTAAAAGAATTGCCTATATCATCAGTTATAATAAAATTGAACAAAACAGTAAAGAACAAAACCTATAAAACCAAAACGTTGGAGACATTACAGGACTTCAAAAGGAGATAATAGTCAAACCAGAATGGGCATCATAGTGAATCTTATTGTCTTCACAGTTGTTGCCTATACTCTCAAACTTGGTACTATCAAGCAAAACAGAATGGATTAAAATCAGTCAAAACAAGATGGTGAGAGCAATACAAGGTTTCAAATCAAGTTAATAGGAAATCAAAGTGGGTTACTATAATATATCCTGATATTTTTCCCTTAATTAAAAAGATAAAAATAAAAAATAAATAATAAAAAAAGAGATTGAGATAAAAGAGGACATAACAACAAAACAGCACAGGTCAGAACATAACCATTTAAGCAAAATAGTGTTTCAACACAGATATCCCGACATAATAGTAGTTACCATAATGTCTCTTTCCTTGAAATCTTTGAGCATAACTTCATATACTGTAGCATCAAACATATCAAGCAATGTAAAACCATTCAAGAAAATGACAGTATTACCGGATGTTTAGAACCAACTAATAGAAAATGAATAGTGGTTTCTGTATTATCTCCTTGTCTATAAAAGTTTTTGTTTATATTATCACATATAGTAAAATCCAATAAGATATAACATGTTAAGACTGATGGAAACAGAAGAACAAAAGCTTGATGGGACTTCAAAACAAGATGATATTAAATCAGCACTAGCTATTATGATGTCTTGTTTTCTCCAAAATAGCTGTTTCTACCATCCAACATTCTTTGCCTCATTTCTGTTGAGCTCTTTTTCTGTCATTAGTTGTCAGTATTTCTTCTTCATTTTTGCTTTCTGATCCCATTCATTGTGGCCTCTCTGCTACTGTTTCTGGAATCTTGGTATTTTTCTATTTTAGAATGTCCTGCAGTACTCTCTGTAGAGTTGAATTGGTGGTTGAAAATTCTCCTAGCTCCTCTTTATCCTGGAAGCACCTTGTTTCTCGATCAGTTTCTAGGGACAGTTGTACAGGATATATCAATCTTGTCTGGAGGTTATTATCTTTCAAAGCTTGAATTATTTCCCCCCATGCTCTTCATGATTTGATGGTTTGTGCCAAGAAGTCTGCTATAATTCTGATGGGTGTTCCCTTGTAAGTGATCTGTTTCTTGTCTCTGGCGGCTTTTAATATTCTGTTCTTATATTGGATTCCTGGAATTTTGATTATTGTATGCCTGGGTGTAGCTCTGTTTGGGTTGTAGGTGTCTGGGGTCATGTATGCCTCACACATCTATCTTTACCTTTTGCTAAATTAGGGAAATTCTCCTGGATTATTTCTGTGAATAGCTTTTGTAGTTCATTTGTTTGTGTTCCTATTTCTTCTTTTATGTTCTTAATTCTTAAGTTATTGATCCTCTTATCATCTTCTAGCCTTTGTATTATTGCTATTTGGTTCCTTGTTATTTTTAAGAAGTTTTTAATTTCAGGCTCTCACATTACAAATCTGTCCTCCAGTTCACCAATCTACCCTTAGTTTCTTTCAAGGTGTTATGCCAGCTTTTAGTAGAGTTTTTAGTTTCCTAGAATTCTCTTTGAATCTGCTTCATGCATTCTATGTTTTCACTATTTTCTCTATCAAACAATTATCCCCCTTTTTTCTGTTATTCCATTCTTCCATCTGTTTTTTCTTGGTAGGTGCTTATCATTTCTTTAAGTATTCTACTTATATCTTGCTTTACTTGGTTAAATACTTCACTTTTGAAATCATCTATGAGGTCCTGAAGATATTGTTTTATGTCTATTGGTGCCTTGTCTGATATTGCATGCTTACTGTCCTCATTCTCCTTTGCATTTACCTTTTCTGGATCAATGTTCTCAGGATTGGGGACTGAGGACCTTTTCTTGTTGCTTCCTCTTCCCATACTTTTTGTTCCTTCCATACAAGTGTATATAGGAGGCCCAGTTTTTTTCTTTGCCGGTTACAGTTTGTTTGAATTGCACTGGCTAGGTGTTCCCACCCACTGCAGTGTATTAGGGAGACACAGACCTGGGCAGCCTATGCTGGGCCCACTCCTCCAGGTCAGTCAACCTCTGAAGGCTTCACTGCATTAGGGTGCACTGCCAGGCACGGGGACCTGGTTTGGTCTAGCCTATTGGGTCTTAGTCTGTGGCATCACCCAGGTGAAGCACTACCTACCAATCCTGCTTGAGAGGGGAATATGTGACTGAAGTCAATGCAGCATCCTGTTCTGGCTAGTCTGCCCAGTCCCAGAATGTCCTCTGTAGGAGCCTCCTTATCTATGGAAGCATCCCTGTTCCTCTCACTCACCACAGATCCATGCAGAGCTCCCCACCAGCTCTGCTCTCAAATAGGTTCACCGATTCCTGCTCTCAGAGCTTTCACATCTCTATCCCTGCTGTGCCAATTCAGATGCAGTGGCAGTGGCAGGAAATTCAAGCCATGGTTTCCAGAGGTGTAGGTTCCAGCATAGGCACTGAGATGTTAGCTGTTCCAGTTGTGGCACCGGTATTGCATTTCCAGTTGGTTTCTCTCAGCTTAGTTCATTCCTGGTTTGGCAGGGTATATAGCCCCCTGCTTAGGACTCCCCACACCACACCATTCCTGGAATCTAAGGTGGCTATCTCAGAGAGCCACTGTAGCTGCTGTTATCTATATGCCATGTTCTCCCAGAAGCCCTACTATCAGATCTTGAAGATAAGTTTGCAATGTGTGATCATGAAAGGAATGATCTCTTAAAAATAAAAAGGAACCGGGAAGTAATAATACAAAGGCTAGAAGATGACAAGAGTGTCTATAACTTAAGAATAAAAAATGTGAGTGAGGAAGCAGGGGTAAACACAAATGAAATACAAAGATTAGTGATAGAAATAATTAAAGAAAACTTTCCAAGCATAGAAATGCTGTTCAGATATATGAGGTATACAGAGCTCCAGCCAGCTATAACCAAAATAGATCCACACCCAGACATACAATAAATCAAGATCCTAGAAATTTAACACAAGAACAGAATATTAAAAGCTGTCAGAGAAACAAAACAGATTACCTATAAAAGAAAACCCATCAGAATCACAACAGACTTCTTGTCACAAACCATCAAATCAAGAACAGCTTGGAGTGAAGTATTCCAAGTCCTTAAAGAAAATAACCTCCAACCCAGATTGATGTACCTTGCAAAACTATCTCTCAAAATTAATATGGAAACAAGATCCTTCCATGACAAAATGGAACTGGGGGAGTTCATGTCCAGCAATCCAACCCTACAAAAAATATTGAAGGACATTCTAGAGAGAGAGAGAGACAAAGACCATAGTTTCAAAAACAGTGACAGAGGAGGCTCACTGAATGGGGCAGACAATGGAATGAAGGGGAAAAGTAGACAACCAACAACAGAAAAATAGCATGGCAGAGATGATGCAGAGAAGGATGGCAATAATCACTAACATGGATGCCTCTGACACACTAATAAAAAGAAATACAGGCAGAGTGGATCAGAAGACACGGTTTATTAAGATGATCTATATAAGAAATATATTTAACCTGGAAGAAGGTTTATAGACTGGAAGTCTAAAATGAGAAAACAATGCTCGATGTGACAGGGAACCAAAAAAAAAAGTGGGGGTAGCTTGTTTATCAGTTGAAGATTGGTTG